GCCATGACTGTGCAGGTAGGAAGTTTTTTTAAGCTCTGTGTTAAAATAAAATCACTAGCTGTACCGAGGATTCGAACCTGGGTCTCTCGCACAATACGACGAAAGAAATTAAGGAGTGTATCGATTACTGCGCATGCACGTTCTACGAACAAGGCGTTAATAAAATGTCAATAAAATAAAAATATGAGTGTCGAAAATTTTCCCAACAAATGTCGCCACCGATTTCAAACCATCATAGGTAGCATCCCGGTTTCAAAACAAACATATCCTGAAAATTTCAGCGAAATCGGTTTAGTAGTTTCCGAGTTTGTAGGTGACAAACAAACATTGATTTTTATATAGAAAGATACTCACACACACACACACACACACACACACACACACACAATTTCAAGCAGCGTAAAACATTGTGCAACTAGCATAGATTGGTAGTAATTGGCATTAAACAGTGTGTAATTAACACATACGAAGTTAGTGGTAGTAGTAGTAGTAGTAGTAGTAGTAGTAGTAGTAGTAGTAGTAGTAGTAGTAGTAGTAGTAGTAGTAGTAGTAGTAGTAGTAGTAGTAATAGTAGTAATAGTAGTAGTAGTAGTGGTAGTAGTAGTAGTAGTAGTAGTAGTAGTAGTAGTAGTAGTAGTAGCAGCAGCAGCAGCAGCAGCAGCACTACTATTAGTAGTATGGTAGTTGTAGTAGTAAAGTTGTTCCATTATAGGTGTAATATACTAGCAGCAGCAGCCGCAGTAGTAGTAGTAGTAGTAGTAGTGAATCAAAATGAAACTATATGTTTGTTCACATACTAAAACAGTGATCTTACAAGGACATGATCATTAGTATGCTGCAACCCAAATTTCAACTTACAAGGTGTCGTTGATGAGTTGTGAAGTTAGGCACGTCTTTTGGAACAGACTAGTAGTAGTAGTTGTTGTTGTTGTTGTAGTGGTAGTGGTGGTGGCAGCAGTAGTAGTTGTAGTGGTAGTGGTGGTGGTGGTGGCAGTAGTTGTAGTGGTAGTAGTAGCAGTTGTTGTGGGAGTGGTAGTAGTTGTAGTGGTAGTGGTGGTGGTAGTAGTAGTAGTTGTAGTGGTAGTGTTAGTAGTAGTAGTAGTAGTAGTAGTAGCAGCAGCAGCAGCAGTAGCAGCAGCAGTAGTAGTAGCAGCAGCAGCAGCAGTAGTAGCAGCAGCAGCAGCAGCAGTAGTATCATTTGTATAATAGTAGTAACAATAATTTTTTTTTTTTTTAAAAGAGTGGAAAAGACAGTCTTGGTTGCCCGTCCACTTCTGGGCTTTTATCTTATTTTTATTTTCGCGTGCACTCTGGTTTTACAGATCTGGGTTATTTGTGTGCAGACTATTGGCCTCTCGCCTCTCATGCAGATGCACTCGGACTTCAAGGACACGTCAGTCCTATCTACGCTGTCCGGGTCCTTCTGTTGTCAGCCTGAGAGGCCCACATCGCTGCATCTAATGTACACACACACACATGCATACTCACGCGCACGCACGCAAATACACACGCACACGCTCACCCTCATACACACGCGCACCCACGAGTCAACAGATCTCCCGCCCTAATATTTTACATTTGACAGCTAGCTGTCACCTCTCGATCAGTAGTGATGTTTCCTTTCTTCCTGCTGTTAAATCATCAAGGATTAAACAGATTACGTTACTGAAATGGAGGATTTGCTTGGGGCGTCAACAGTCAGACTGTTGGAGTGGGCAACTGCATATAAACCCAAGTTTCAATCAGAGATATTACCAACATTCCCATCTTCAGGACGTCATTACCTCTCCAGCCAGAATCCATAACGGTGACGTGAGTATAGACTTTTTCTTCGCGTTCACCAGCTTTAAACTCTGACGGAAAGCTCTGGTTCTTCGTCCACTTCTGGTCTGCAGTCCGGTCTCATAATCTAAGTGTTGCGTGTGCATCTGTTTGACAGATCTTACTTATTTTGTGCAGACTGTTGGTTCCTCGCCTTTTGGGGAGATGTACTTCGACATTAAAAAAAAAAGTTGTTGCGTATCCTTTACAGGACGTTGCAGAACCAACCCTAACAGCCCCTGGCTGTTGTGTGGTTTCTCTAGGCAAATTACGTCCAGTAGTTTGCCATTGCTCTCTGGACGGTCGGCTTTATTGATACCACTGTCGGAACCAACGCAAGGCGCATTGCCCGCAGCTGGGATCGAACCCGGCATCCCGGCATTACGAAGCGAAGTGTTCGCATCGACTTAGCCACAGAGCCGACTTCGACATTAAATGAAGATCCAATTAGTCGACTTTTACGACAAACTTTTGGGTAGGCAGTGGGTCTATTCGTGTTTTTCCTATAATAGGGCCTCCAGAACCCACACGGGGGAGCTTTGTTTAATAACAGTTTCAATATTTCACGCAATTTGTTGTTTTAAAGCCCGACCGGCTGTCGTCGAGGTGCCTTAAATCAATTACTCTCAGCCTTCCTAACGCCGCGACCCTTTAATACAGTTCCTCATGTTGTGGCGACCCCTAAACATACATTCATTTTCGTTACCACTTCAATAAACATGTCGATTCTACTGTAGAAATATGTCTTTTCCGATGGTCTTAGGTGACCCCTGTGAAAAGGTCGTCCGACCCACACAAAAGGGCTCGCGACGCACAGGTTGAGAACGGCTGCCCTAAATATTAATCTAACGGTTGAACGGAGTTTCTGGGACTTGCGCCAGGGCAATTCTCATCCGAATGGTGGAACTTTGTGTCACCCGGTGTTAGCTGGTTGTGCCCGGCTCTCTAGCGTAGTTGGCTAAACCGGATTGCGCGGATACCGGGCGACGAACTCCTTGTGGTCCGGGTTCACTCCCGGGGGTAGGCAGAAAAGCCACATTTTATCCCAG